GGAAGCCCCGGGCAGCCACCTGCTACAGGCGAGCTGGGGCTGCAAGTGGCAGCAGTGGACTTGGGGAAGCGGTGGGGCAGAGCAGCTGGGGTGCTGCCGGGTTGGTCCTGCAGTGCCGCCCCTCACCCTCCCGTGCTCGGCCCCTGGCAGCACCCCAGCTGCTCTGCTCTGCAGCTTCCCCAAGTCCGCCACTGGTCAGTTTCAGCAGCGGCAGCAGCGGACTAGGGGAAGCGGCGCGGAGCAGCTCCAATTGTCTGACTGGCTGGAGCACTTCCAGGTTCCACTTGGTGCCAGACTATCAGGAGTGTCGGTCCACTGGATGCCAGACAATTGGAGTTTTACTGTATTTGGCCTTGCAAGATAAGTGTGGGCTTTCATCTCTGATTTCAGCACTTCATAGGATTAAGTTTAAGGTATTCTGATAGGTTGCACTGCATCTATTACCGGAGGAACAAAATAGTGGAGACAAAATAGTTTTATATGTATAAGAATTATATTTGGGTAGGGATAGTCTCATTTATAGTTGTATACAACTCTGCCCTTTCTACCTAATGTGACTTGGGTACCATTACAAATGCAAGTATATTAAGTTCTATATACTGTCCTATTATGACAGTGTATTAACAATTTCTATTTGAAGTGGGTTTTTTTCAAAACCTGATTGTTTTAAGCCTTCTAAATGCCAAGCAAAAGCACAAACTGGAAAAAGGTTTGCCTAATAAAAGCCAATAAAACTGAATCACCCCATGTTTAGCTCTTAATTTTCCCTCCCCCTTTTTGTTTGTTTCTTTGTGTTTTAGGCTGTGGATCTGTTTTAAATGAAAAGGGTGAAGTAGAAATGGATGCCATTATCATGGATGGAAAAAATCTAGCCTCAGGAGCAGTATCTGCAGTTAAATGTATAGCTAACCCAATAATGCTTGCTCGTCTTGTCATGGAAAAGGTATGTTGAATGTGCACTTGATTAAGAAACATTCTTTCCCGTAGCATTTCATTGCATGTATTGATACTACACAGACAACATAACCAGTGAGGTGTATTTTAAATCTGGGAAGGAGGAAGAAAATCACTGGTACTGATAAGGGACCATGAGCATGACTATAAAGAGGCAAGACTATTTTTATTTGAAGGTTTTAAATTAGTTGAAGTGCTAATTTTATTCAGCACTTAAAAGGGTGTTGTATACACTTGCAAACTTGAGGAGAAATTGATATACATAATCTACTTTGCCAATTATTATCACTTTTCTCTGAGTTAATATTGTAGATGTTTGCATTAATAAGAGCACTTTCTTAGCCCTCCAACTTGATGTGGCAGGAAAAAGGTAGGACAATGTACTGGAGACTGTCTGTAGGGGACAGACGTGTAATACAGTGCTGGCTGTAGACATGGGCCATGAGGATGGCCACTCTGGGCGATGTGCTGATGGGGGCACCTATGAATAGTCTCACTTGACCTTACCAGGGGCAGGCAATTAAGCAATAGGGGAAACACAACAGCCTGCTCAGCTAGCATCAGGGGGGACAGAGGTACTTACTCACTTGTCTCAGTTAACTCCTCTGCTCTGGTGGGAGCAGCAACAGGGGTTAGGGTTGCCAGGTGTCCGGTACTGACCTGGACAGTCTGGTATTTTTGCCTCCTGTCTGGTAAAAAATTCAGAAAATACCGGACACCTAAAATGTCCAGTATTTTCTGGGTTTTTTCCCCCTGGTGAAGAGGCGAAAATACCGGACACCTGGCAACCCTACAACACACTCAGCAACCAGGCCCGGCCCCCCCTGCCAGATCCCCTCTGGTGCCCTCCTGCTTACCTGGTTCTACAGGGGCTTGTCTTGTGGCTGGAACAGAAAAACAAAATGGCCAGCTGCAAAAAAGCATCTTCTTAAAGGGGCCATGCTGATTTGTATTTGTTTGTTTGTTTTTGTTTTGCTTAAATGCTGTTGGGGTCCTTTTTTTTTTCCTTCCTTCTTTTTTCCCCTCTCTCAACAACTTTGGTCTCCCCCCACCCCCTTTTTTCTCAACAGAATGTTTTTTCAGGTGTGTGTTTGGGGGGGGGGGGGAGAGGTCGGTATTTTTGGTTAAACCACCTGGCAACCCTAGTAGGAGTTGGTGCCCAGGGGGAGGGGGAGTTCCCCATTCTTCCTGGGATGGAGGGCCTCCTGTAGAAGCTATGTGGGGAGTGGGTGGAGCAGGCTATGCTGGAATAGGCTTGTGGAAACTTTCTACAATTCTTTTACCATTGCTAATCCTGATGGAGCTCTATGGCGTGTGTGTGTGTGTGTGTGTGTGTGTGTGTGTGTGGCTTCTCTCTGTGTTTTGGCTGGCTGGGGTTTGGAGCAGCCCTATTTTCAGTATGCATGTTAGTATAGAGTAGGTCTGGGTCCACCGTCTATTTTCTTCTCCTTTCCAGCCTAAGAGCCACTTGTCCAGGAAAGGGCTTTCCCCTGGCTCTGTCGGCAGGACTGCTGCACTGTGCACAGCTCTGCAAAGTGAGCACTAGGTGTTGCAGCCTGCCTGTGATCCCTTCCCTTCCTTGCATAGAGGTGACACTTGTGGGGGGAAGGGCTGACATGCACTGTGCTAAGTCATATTACTCCCCTCACACACACCCAGTTTTCTGCCAGGGTCTGCCTGCCCAGCTCTCCTCCTCCTCCCTCTCCTGATTGTTGGAGGCAGCTGGGGCCTAGGACAGATAAACAAACAAGTAACAAGTGAACCAAAATAGCTGAGACTGGAGTAGTAGGGAAGAGGGTAGGCTGCTGATATTAGATAAGAGAGGAAGGAACAGTTGCTTTTTCATAGGAAAACTGAAGGAAAGTGGTGGGCTACTGGCTGGAGAGGGGAGCCGTATGACACTTGAGTTGTTGTGGGTCCTTTAAATTGTGCCTTCCATTAGCAGCTGAAGGTCCTGTCCTCCTTGCTCCCTTGGCTCAGAAACTTCACTCACTTTTTTGAGGGGGAAGAGGAGGCTGCTGCTGCCTCCCCAAAGTGAGGCAGGAGGGTGGGTGCAGAGGAGAGAGAAATAGGATCACAGTGAGAGGGAAATGGGGCCACAGTGAGAGGTATGTGCCTGCCTGGGTGAAACATACAGCTTTCATTCAACTCTTGGTCACCTATCTATACCCTCAGGTTCTGTTGTTTCACTACAAGTTGTACTTAACAGTTTGCTGAAATTCCTCAGGGCAGGGGGCCTTGTCAAAGCTGTTGGAGGGCACAGTGTTGTTGTTGCATCAAGATTAAGAATAAGGGCATTTATTTGCTCCCACCTTAACCTGCAAATCTTCCTCTGAGAATAATGCCTCATCGGGTTCTGGTCAGGTCCCCAGGGTGCTGGACCAAGGAGGTCCAATCTGTAATCAGATGACTGATATGGAAAGGCTAGTGATGTCACAGACTAGCACTGCAACTTTGCACTAGGAGCAGGAAGAGATGCACTTAGTGGTAACTGAACTTATTTGAACACAAATTATTTATCAGTATATGTGGCCAATGAAATTATGAGTATCTGGACTTGATTGCATGTTAACTATTGTGTGTCATTTTTCTCCAGTAACAAGTGCTTCTTAATGAGTGTCTGCATGAGAAAATTACTTGTTTATTCAGTAATGGCCTAGCCACAGTATTGCTTCTAATGGGGATGCTCTAGATTAGGGGTGTCACTATTTTACCAACATTAGGATTATATGACATGGTGATTAGAGAAGGTTGAAAGCTTTTAAACTAGAATTTACACTCGTGTGGTACCAGTGCAGCTTCACCATAACTGAACAAGGGTAAACAATATTTTCATGTTGACAAGGCTTGCATGTTTATTTTTCATGCCACTTTTACCTTGGTCTCCTAGCTACCGTAAGGGTGATTTACAAAGGAGGAGTGCAACCATTTCCCCCTTTTCATGATCTATAAAAGCCTGAATATATGGGATTTTTAAAGATATATGTTGATCTTACTGTGGTTACAAGAAGAGAGAATATTAACACTTGTCCTCAAAGACTGGTTGAAGGACAAGAGAACTAGAGTGGGAGCTATCTTAGACCTCAATCAAAGAATAGGGGGGTTGAATCTCTAACAAAGATAGATTTCTATCAATATGTGTTTGTCATCAAAACACTGGATTAAACAAATGTAAAAAAAAAAATCTAGATTGGTTTTCTTTAGGGATTCTGACAAAAAAAATCGCCTTTTCACTCAGATACTAAGGTTTCATTCACCTGTGATGTCTCATTAATTCTACAGCTGTTCATAGAATCATCCAGGCAAAACCAAGGTAGACAAGGCATAACATTTCTAATGTAAAAATGACATTGGGGAGGAATATTTCCAGGTCTTTCTAAATATCCTAAAAGACACAGGTTCATTGGTTGCATTTTAAAAAAAGGTAATCTTTAATAACCTCTGGCAGTTCATGTTTCAAGGGATACAAGTTCTGATTTCGCTATTTGAATAGTAAAACCACCTGTGACTTGAGCAGGAGCAGAGTTAGGTTATCAGTAAACACTCTTGAAAAAGGAATCCCAGACTGGGTCTCTGGAGACTCAGGATGTTCTGTCTCCAGCTCTGCCACTGATCTTCCAAGTGACATGGAGTAAATGACTTTCCTTCTATGCCTCAGTTCTCCCATTGGCTGAGTCTAGACTGGCGTGATTTTGCGCAAATACTTTTAACGGAAAAGTTTTTCCATTAAAAGTATTTGCGCAAAAGATCGTCTATACTGGCATGTGCCTTTGCGCAAAAGATTTGCTTTTGCGCAAAAACATCAGTGCTAGTGTAGCCATCGGGCTTTCTTGCGCAAGAAATTAACTTAGCTGACTACACTGGCACTCTTGCGCAAGAATACTTGAGCAAGAGGGCTTATCCCTGAGTGGGAGCGTCGGAGTATTTGCGCAAGAACTACTGATTTTGTACAGTACAAAGTCAGTGTTCTTGCGCAAATACTCGCGGCCAGTGTAGCAAAATCTTGCCAGTCTAGAGGCACCCATCCAGTATAATGGGGGAAGTGATACTGACTGCCTTTGTAAAGTGCTTTGAGAGCTACTGATGGAAAAGTGTTTTTCCAGAACTGTGTGGCATTATTATTTACTTATTTCTCTCTTTTCCTATAATCACGGTGAAGTCTTTGTACAATGGCAAGGGTTTTTTTGTTTTTGGTTTTTTTGGTAGTTTTAACTCAAGTAACAGAACACTTACTGTATGGGACCAGATGCCACAATAATAAAAGCAAAACCAAAACATTTAGGTTTTATTTTCTGGTAAAATTTATTCCTTTCCGTAAAGCTCTGGTAACCAGGCTTCACATGGAGAACTCCCAAGCAGGTGATGGGGATATATGTATTAGCCAGCAGGGGAATTCACTTCTTCATGTCCACTGGCCAGAGTTCTATTCTCTTGGCTGGAATATAAGATGCTGCCCTTCTGCTCCCTGTGGGCAGAAATGTCGGGCCAGAAACATATGTGCAGACCTCATCTTTGCGTTGCACAGAAGGTGCAGAACCTTCCGACGTGGGTGCTCTAAGCACAGTTCCTATTCTGCGCAGCTTTACCAAATGGCTGAGCTAGGCCTTGTAGCAGCCCTCTATACCCCAATGTGACTTTATCTTTGTATAGCCCTAACTACTCTAACATCATGCACATCAGACCTTATTTATGGATGTAAGAAAAAATAGTTGTTTTTAATGGAGATCTAATATTTGCATATTACTAAGATTTACTTATGAACTAGGAACCTTTGAACTCCATAATACATGGACATTGAAGGCTGGGATTTTTAAAGGAGCCTGAAAGGGTTGGATACTCAGATCCCCTGGGATTTTAATGGAAATCAAGTGCTTAACTACCCTAGATTCCTTTGACAAACAGCCTTGGCACAAAGGGAAAAAAGGCTATTTTATAATAATCAGTGTTTATTTCTGCCTGTGGAACAATATGGGCTCCATCTGCTGGCCA